AAGTGTATAGACTTTATTATTATAAAGACAAAAATCTTTTGAGAACGTCTGTTTTTTGGGTTGGCAAAAGGATCAGCGGAAAGAGTTCCACACATTTTAATAGTTTTAAAATATATTTTTATAATAATATATAATCTTCGCAAATTTCTATAAACCTTTATAATATTTTATAATACTCTGCAAATTTTTAATAATTTCTAAAAACTTTCGAAAAAATGAAATTTTTGAAATTTATATATAAAAACTCTGCTTCAAAGATCTCTAACAAAAATAAAGATTTCCAAAGATTTTTGTAGCAAAGATCTCTAAAGATTTCTGCTAATTTAATTTTACTGATGTTAAAAACTTATATTCTAACAAGTTAATTTTTCATCTATGTTATTAGAGCTTCAGCATTAATAATATAGGAGATATAAAAGGCAACATACTGATTGGCAAGTAATTTTCTATCTTAGATAGTTTAGAAAATAGATAAAACTATATTCTATACTTAAAAGTACTTAATAAATATTTAATAAATAAGATATATGTCAGTTGTTATAAAAAAAAAAATAAAAAAATAAAAATAATAATAATAATAAAATATATATTAACTAATTAATAAAATCAAAAAATTTAAAAAATTTTTATCAGTTTATATAATTTTAGATTTTTCTTTGACTTCTTTTATAAAACGATTTATTTTGTTATTGGCTTTATCTTTGCTATATAATTTGATTTTAGATTATTTGTTTAAAAATACAATTTATTTATTTAATATAATTTATTTGATTTGTATATATTACAAGATATACAGTATATTAAATATTAGCTTTGGTATTGATAATTGTATTACAATATATACTGATAACAAATATATTGTTTAAGGGTTCAACAATTCTGACTGTACTGTATAACAATTGATTAATGTAAAAGTTGAGTCACGTGCAACGATGAACCTTCTCTGCCTGGCTATAACGTTAGAACTTTTCATATCCATAAGATAACGCGATGCCAGTGAAGTTACAATATTCATACCTAGCTTTTATTGTCGCCCTTATTTCAATTGTTATCTACGTGTTCAGTAAGAATTGCATATTTTATGATGGCATAACGTTTTACGAATTTTCATACATGTTTCACACGCATTTTCGGCAGAGAAACAGAATGACGAATTTATGGGAGTCAATCGAATCATAGAAAAAAAGGGTTTGGACAAATGTCGTAAAGTGCTAGGTTTGAGAAAAGATTTCCAGTTTTTTTTTCTAACAAAGTGTCTAGAGCATACGACTGACTAGTAATCTGTGACATAAACAGGACCAACTTATTGTGAGGACGTAGGAATACACCGCGCGTCGGGTCTAGCTTTCATAAGTTGTGACCCGTCGCGTCCTTACTTCAATTCAGTGCTTGGATTTGGTAATTCTAGTATGGCAAAAGGTGATGGGTCGATATGGATGTACGATCTAAACGTACGTGTGGTCAGAGTCATCTATTTCCTAGTCCTATACCGCAATCTTCTTAAATATTGATCACTCCCTAGTCGAACGCGTCGCCAATTCTCCTGACCACAGACTTTAAGAAACCTTTTCACCCTGTTGGCTTGTCGATCGCACCTTTGGGCGTGACCCCGATTAAAACTGCTGTTGCTCCTCTGCTGTTCACACTGGTGGTCGTTAACCATAACGACAATGACAACCGAACTGTGGAAGTTTTTGATTTTCGTAGCGACACAAAATCACTAATTCATCGTAAAACCATTTCTTCGCCACACATTTCTAGCCCGAATCGTGTCGCAGCGGTTACCTATCAACCAAGTGTCGACGGTATTCCATCATTCTTTGTCTCGAATGATCATTACTTTACTAATAGTAGATGGCGCCGTGTTGAAAGGTATACGGCTGCAGCCTTTGGTAGTGTATCATTTTACAATGCTCGTGCAGACAAAGCGATGGTAATTGGATGGAGACATCAACATCCTTCGGGTATAGCAGCCACTGAGGATGCGAGTCAAATTTTTGTCTCAGATACTTGGTCAGGAAATGTCGTCGAATATCGGGCACATTTTTTTAACAGGGAGATCCTAAATGACAAGATTAACACCTCAGGAGGACAAGTCACAATAATTTGGCCACTTTATCTGACAACAAATTCAGTGACTGCTGATTACGCAGTAACGGGCGTTGACTTTGATCCACTGAGCAACGATTTGTATATTGTCGGACACCCGAAGTTTCGTGATTTCATTGCTCATGCGGAATCACTTGCAACTGGTAATTATAGTTCTCGGATATCACCTTCACTGGTCACAAAGATCACGCATATTCCTTCAAAATCAAATGATCACGATGGAAATATATTTGTCCGTAAGAAGTACACCGCCGAAACCTTTTTTGAAGATGACGGCACAACATTTGGATCCAGTAGCGGAGTTGCAGTGGACGCGTTGCGAAACAAGTTGTTAATTGTTGGGAGTTATGAAAGTGGATTTATGGAGTGCAAACTAAATTGAGGTTCTTTGAAAAACACTTGAAAACTCAAGATTTAAGTGAAACAAAAGTAATGATATTTCTTCAAAAAAGGTTTGAACTTCCCTCCCACCAAAAAAAAACAAAAAATTAAAAATTAAAGATACATTTACTCGTCTAATATATTTCTTTTTTTTTTTTTTTTTGGCGATAAAAGTCATATACAATTTCCCACCCCAGAAGTTCCAGTTTGATAGATATAGACATTCTTTCCCGGATTAATCATTATCCCATTAAATCAATTCCCTTTTTTATGAAATGTATACTTTTGTTGACGTTTCTAAAACTAGTTTAGATATCGTAGTAGTAGTAGTATATCTAGAAATTGTTCGTTTGACTATTATCATCAATTAGTAATGCAAATAGGAGACACAGTATCACAACACCAACGGGAATGAATACCCTTGTACGTTTTTGATGATAAATGTTCAACGCACTACCTGACGATAGTTTTTATGTTGCTATCATACGTCTAAAATAAGTATATAAATCAAGTTTAATGTACAGATACAAAAATTTAATCGTCTTTAGTCATGTCGTGAAGTTCCGACGAAACTTTCTTCTAATTCTTGCTCCAATTCAATAATCCTCCTGTCCTTTTGTTCAATAAATTCCGTGAATGTTTCAATTTGTTTACTATTACTTGCACGTTCTTCAGCAAATTGCTCCTAATTACAAGATACACAGAATAAGTCAATCGAGAGGAGAAAAGGAAAGAATTCAGCGATCACAATTACCTTCATTACAGCAATCTCATGCTGTAGCCTTGATATTTCCTGATTTGCTCGCAACTTCTCATTTTCTGAATTGGCCAATTTGCTTTTCATGATGTCATAGGATTTCAGTAACCGTACTGATTTGCTATCAGCCATTTGCAACTGTAAAATCATTGGATAAGTTAGATCCGAGTTTATGATTTCATCTAACCCAGGATCAATTAATTATACGATATTTGCCTGTTCGTTCAATTGCGATATTCTTGATTCGTAGTGATTTTTGATAAGCAATTCTCGTTGTTGTGCCTCATCCTCGGATTTAGTGACTCGCTGGTGGAAAGATAAAGATGAAGAGGTGTGCTTTAATGGAATTGAAGATCGACAAAATGTGACTAGACAAAGCAAGATAAATGGTAAATACCCCTATGTCATGTTCCAATGCAAGAATGTTTCCATTAATGTGTGCGTTGGTATCGATGTCATCACTCATCAATGTTGACAAAGCAGTCGGTGCCATTGAATGCAAGGGCCCTTTGATTGATTGTCTTTGTGATTCCAAATTATCCTTCTCAATAGTGCTCGGTTCATAAATGAATACTTCAGACTGAAAAGCAAGCAGTTTGTTAATGAAACATTATAGAAAAAAAATATGGAAGAAAAAGATGAATCCCAACGACCTACCCCATTATCATAACTATCTTCATCATCACTTTCTTGAACATGCTCGAATGAGATTGGAGAGCCACCTTCCTTGGATTCCAGGTGAGAATTACTATTCTGATCCTCGAGAGATATTCCTTCCGTCTCATTCGAAGCTTCGGTTACATCATCAAACCCATTCACTAATAACGGAGCATCATCACCGCTATCAGAATTATCTTCCATCTTTGTAGAGATTGGAACATGTGCGACCTTGTTATTACCTGCACAACTCTGTTGATCATTATTTCCCACGTGATCACTTTCGGTTGTCTGTAAATAGCGGGTTGGTCGGTTGAAAGAAGAGAGAGATTACTTCAATGAGTTTTAACCACAATTCACCATTAATTATATAGTCTTCAGTGAATATACCATATTTATAATTATTTGAATAAAAGTATCCTCTAATATTCGTAAAATAACATAATTATCTCATTATCATAAAAAATATTACTTTTTGCTTCTCTAGTTCCTCCTTTAGTCGGGTGATTTCCTTTTCCAAGGTAGCAACTTTCGTCGTGCCATTCTCGGTGACTTTGACAAGATTCTCCTTCTCCACCATCAACTCGGACATTCGACCTTTTCATGAAATAGTTATTTAAAGATTGGTTAATTCACGAAAAAATAAAACGACAAATAAAAATTCAAGGAATCTCCGTCTCACATACTATGAACAGATGTTAGTTTTATTGCAAAAGTTTGTAAATTCTTGTGCCATATTTGGCTCGCCTCTTTAACTTTTGAGCCCTTTGCATATGACGATGCAGACTAAAGGATTCGAAAAAAACAAAAAACAAAGTTCAATGTAAGATGATAATTAAAGACAGTGACAAAAGGCATTCATTTTGACTATCCCCTAACTTACCTTCTCTTTTAGTGATTTCAAATAATCTCGTGTACTAGATTGCAATTGTCTGAAGCTTGAAATGAGCACATTTGAATCTTCGTCTATTTTTTCTTGTAAATCCTGTAAGAAAAAAAGATGGTGAACATTTGGTAGAATGAGATGGTTGAAACGAAAAGGACCAACACGTACGTTGAATTGGTTAATTTGAGATTCTTCTAGACCCAGATTTATCGATAGCGTTGTGATCACTTCAGACCATAACATGTCATCACCCTCTCGCAGCTTCTGCTCATTCTTCTCCATGAGTGATTTGGTTCTGCGAAGCAAAAGGAAATAAAATTCGATGTCAAATATCTACCGATGAGGGACATCCAAGCTTAAAGGTATCATGGCTAATAATAATAAATACTTTCGAAGTTCTGCTCGCGTCTGATCGAGTTCAGAATCAAGTTCACGTTTCTCTTGACGTATCGTATTTAGAGCCTCCTCGCTGGCAATATGCGATCTCGTCAGTTCATCCTGTGAAAAACGGTTCCATAAATTGGTGACTACTTCTTCAAATGTAAGAAAACATTCATCAAAAAGCACCTACCTGAAGGTCTTCGGTCTTTTTCTCCAAATCCGCTATCTTTGCCTGAAGATCATTCACATGTTGGGTATATAGACCGTTGACTTCATAAAGTTCTTTATGTAACTTTTCTGCATACATAAAAATCGGCGAATGATTTAACCGTTACATTAGATCGCCACAAACAATGAAATGGATCTTGTGTACAGATCAAGAACAAGTTTTTCCGGAATTCAACACATCATAAATTTAAGGTTGTACCATTTTCTTCTATTTTTCGCGTCAACTCTACGCTGGTAACTTCCAAGGTGACTTTTGACTTTTCAAGCTCTTTCTTTGCCGAGCCCACCAGCCATCCAGGTGACAACCTCTAATTTCGTCAAAACATTCAATGAATAAACAAGTATAAAATTGGGGTGATGCAATTAAGTAGGAGAAAATTGAAGGTAGGTACCGCAGCACCCGAATCTTGCAAACATTCGATGCGCTTCGTTAATCGTTGATTGTGAAAGGTTAAGAGGTCCAGTTGTTGAGTCGACTGCGAATTGTGTGAATTGAGTATCGTGCGGGGCAGAACAACTGTTCGTATTTAATCGAAAAATGACTTACTGATCGTAATTCACGTTCTTTTGTTTTGCACTCGTCTTGTAATGCAGCATTGGTTTCTTGTTCCTATTGACAAGATGAAAATTGAATCGTTCATTGATCCGCCCACAAATTTCGCGATATCCATGATTGAATTCATCAATTCTATCAAACCTTGATGACAGCTTTCTTGAGGACGGAATGTTGCGCTTTTATCCTAATCACGGAGTGAAATCCGGTGTGAGTTCTACATAAACCAGGGCAAGGTAGAGAGAGTAAGACACTCACCTTGAGAACTCGGAGAATAGTTTCTGATATTTCTCGGCTAATTCTTCGGCTGAGGTGACGCCTACTAATCGATGGAGTCAACGCGAAAAGGTTATATTGTTAATTAGAACATTATTTTTCAGGCATGAAGCATCCAAAGCAGATGAGCCCACCTGAGGACTGCAGCGACGCAGAAGCGGATGGTCGACCGTCGCTCATAATTTTTTCGGTATATAAGAAGTTGATGAAAGGGTTTGTCGGTAAGGAAATACACGCACGATTGATATGGTTGATGATGAACTGACAGGGCAACTTCACACAAATAATCATGTGTCGATCAGCCGTTCACATGAACTGTATCACTGCGACCTCTGACACGAAGCAGGATCCAAACAAGATTTCGCTTGAATAACTGACTATTGATTGGGGCCCTGCAGAAATTTTGAAAAAATGTGGGGTAATATTATGCAATAGCCAAAGGTCTGCTCACACAAAGAAACTAAATATATAATAATGTTCCTCTCAGCTTCAGCCAACCTTTCAGACAAAGGAAATTCTCACAAGCCTAGTCACAATGCTTTTTTTCCTGAATTCATCATCAGGCTTTTGAAACTGGTTTTCAAATCATTCCCGGCTAGTATATAAAGGTCTAGGAGGAAATGGCGGAGGGGAATCCACATCATCTGGAAACAATTACAAATGAATGTTCATTCAATCAATGTTAGATTCCAAAGAATTCAAAACACCGACAATTGAATAACACAAGAGAATAAAAAGACAATAGAGCATTTTCATCGGATTGTTTTGTCCTTTCGACGAGTGTCTATTGTTTTTAACGGCATGAGCTCGAATAAGGAATTCCGTGTAATCCTCCTTTGCATGCGCCAATCATTCAAACCTTTTTGGAGTTTTAAATATGATCACGTGTTCCATTGCCTTTTCAACCGACGAAGGGCATTACAAAATTTTCCGAGTCCACACAAATAATGATCTCTTTTTTGGCAGTCCCAATAAT